TCAATATTATTATTGCTATAGTATAGAGGAGGATCCAAGAACGTATGATAAAGCTGTGAAATCTCGAGATTTTGTTTTTTTGGAAAGAAGCAATTGATGAAGAGATTGGTTCTATCATGGAAAATAATACTTGGGTATTATCTGATTTACCACCAGGCTACAAACCATTGGGTTGCAAATGGATCTTCAAAAAGAAGATGAAAGTCGATGGTACAATTGACAAGTTTAAAGCTAGATTAGTTATCCAAGGATTCAGACAAAAGGAAGGGATTGATTATTTCGATACCTATGCTCCAGTTGCCCGTATCACTACTATTAGATTGTTGATTGCCTTGGCGGCTATTCATAATCTAGTGATTCATCAAATGGATGTCAAAACAACATTTCTGAATGGTGATTTGGAAGAAGAAGTGTATTATGAAGCAACCTGAAGGATTTGTAATGCCTAGTAATGAGCATAAAGTGTGTAAGCTAGTTAAGCTGTTGTATGGGCTGAAACAAGCTCCGAAGCAGTGGCATCAAAAGTTTGATGAGGTTGTTTTGTCTAATGGTTTCATTCTAAACCAAGCTGAAAAATGTGTATATAGCAAATTTGATACACCCGGTAAAGGAGTTTTCATTTTTCTATATGTTGATGACATGTTGATCTTTGGCACCGACCAAAATCAAATTGATAAAACGAAGAATTTCTTGTCATCAAAGTTCTACATGAAGGATATGGGAGAAGTGGATGTTATTCTTGGTATCAAGATTAAACGGGAGAATAAAGGGATTGTAATTACGCAATCTCATTACATTGAGAAAATACTCAAGAAGTTCAATTATGAAAGTTGTTCTCCAGTAAGTACTCCCATGGATCCGGGAGAAAAGCTTATGCCAAATACAGGTAAACCTGTGGATCAACTCGAATATTCAAGAGCTATAGGCTCTTTGATGTATGCTATGATTAGCACTAGACCGGATATTGCTTATGCGGTTGGAAAGTTGAGCAGATTTACTAGTAATCCTAGTAGACATCATTGGCATGCGATAACTAGGGTATTCAAGTACTTGAAGGGTACTATGAATTATGGATTGTCATATATGGGATTTCCTTTGGTGTTAGAGGGTTATTCGGATGCTAGTTGGATAAATAATGCTGAAGATTCATCCTCTACAAGTGGATGGGCGTTCTTGCTTGGGGGAGGTGCCATCTCATGGGCTTCTAAGAAGCAAACATGTATAACTGGTTCCACAATCGAATCTGAGTTTGTAGCACTAGCTGCTGATGGTAAAGAAGCGGAATGGCTAAGGAACTTGGTATATGAGATTCCGATATGGCCTAAACTGATATCACCAATTTCTATCCGTTGTGATAGTACTGCCACATTGGCTAAAGCTTATAGTCAAATATACAATGGAAAGTCTAGACATTTGGGTGTTAGACATAATATGATTAGGGAATTAATCATGAATGGGGTGATATCTATTGATTTTGTTCGGTCGCAACAAAACTTAGCTGACCACTTGACGAAGGGGTTAGCTAGAGACTTAGTGAAGAAGTCGGTAATTGGAATGGGATTAAAGTCCATTTAAATTTATTAGCTATGGTATACCCAATTCCCTTCTAATACAACGTTAGAAGAAGAATTCAATGTGGAAAGATCATAGTTAGAGATTGGAGCAATTGTGTTTATCTTCCCAAGGTATGTGCTCAGACCTGCAAGTGATGGCTAGGTTGAAGTATATCTTCTTAATGGTTCTTTTGGAAAATTGCAAATGCAGGTGCAAGATTAAAAGGATCACCTATGTGAGCATGAAGTTTTGCCGCTTCAAGAAGCTTGGACTTGGCTTCCTATATGCTTATTAGTGGATAAGGACACATGCCTTGTAAAGTGTCAAGTATGGATAGTAGAGTATTGTAAGAAACATATGTGTACTATATCTTCAGATATTCAAATGGATTAACGGGTTCAAACGCTATGACACCCCGATTTTCGAGTATTTGGAATGTGTACTTGTACTAAGATGAAAATTCAATCGTAAGACATTTTCATCTATGCATTTGTTTGATTGTTATACCTGTGTGTTATACCCTTGTATATACTATTGTATATATGGAGTAAATCAAGGATTACACTAAAATGGGGGGGGGGGGGGGGGGATTTATTGGTGATTTTAGTATCATCAATCTATTTTAGTAGTAATGTGATTTACTGTAGGCCGATGCAATTATGCGTTAAACTTGAAAACGAGTTAGGGTAGTGCGGAGCGCATGCTCGTCGAGGCAACGTGTAATTGAATGCGAATAATTGAAAAGGGGTTCCGAGGGGCGAAGCCCCTGGCAGGGTGCGGGGCAGCGTCCCGTTTGAAATTTTTGAACAGTTTCTGAAGAGTTGAACCCGTTCGAAAGTTTTCTGAACAGTTGAACCCTTTCCCAACCGACTTAACCGTTTTCTGAGCAGTTGTGTCTTTTCGGTTTCTGTTATTAATCTCTTATATAAGGAGTCATTTGGCTTCAGTTTAAAACACTTAACAAAACCATACTTTCTCTCTACATTCCTGATCTGTTCTCTATTGACAGAAGTAGATTGTTCTTCAAGAATTATCCCCACAAAGATTTCGTGAACTCAGACAATAATAGGATCAAAATACTTTGTTCGAAAAGTGTACGAACACGATTCCTCGAAGTTATCCAGGATTATTATACTCAAATTTCTAACAATAACAACCTCCAAGTTTCTAGTAAGTACAAAAATAAATACACATATTCCTACAACTTTAGAGAATGTTGACCAAAATGAACAAAATGGGAAAGGTATATGATACACCCGTAAGAATCAGCCAGGTGGGTGAAAAGAGTGTTTTGATTGAGCAATGTAAGGTTATTTAGTCAATTACGGAAAATGGAAAGGTTTAGTGTAAATTAAATATGTTCAAAAGAGTAAATTAAGAAATAGATAGGTATATTACATTCTTAGTTAGTTAGGTGATATGTTGCAAGACTAAATCTTTAAACATTATAAGCTAAGAAGATATTTAAAATTTCCATACTAAAAAAAAGATAAATTATAAAATGAACATTCATTAAATTTTATAATTAATGATTCAAAATAAAGTACTACACTTATTTTTGTTAAAGAATATTTTGCACAAAGTGCGTTTAATAGGTGTTGTTGGGCTTACAAATCATCTCTACCACATAATGATCTTTTAAGAAATGATTTAATTCACCTCAAAATAATATCAATTTCAGCTACATGTGGAAGAAGAGGGCACTTTAGAGGAGCATTAGCCTCGCAAATATTTATTGTATTTCCGTTATTATGGGGTGAAAAAACAAGTCCATTCCGTTAGACATGTCTGTTTTGCCTACACTTTTTTACGAAGCAGATTAATATTTAGTTTCACACTCTCTAATGTATCTTTTCGGCTCATTTTTTCAAGCTTTTGCATACATGAATAATAATATAATTTTTTAATTTCATTTTTAGTCTTAAAAAGGGAAATGGCCACGGATCCTCCATCAATTTTTTGTTGGGCGGGGCAGAGCAAAGTTTTAAGCCCACACACTCAACTCTGTCTGTCCCATTTTGTTCCCTTTTTGACAAATTTTTGCAAGACAGACCTAAACGGGGAAGACATACTTGTTTGTCACCCATATCCATTATAGGGAGTAACTCCAGAGGATCCCAAACACTTTTACAATTGTCGTGAAGTGTCTATATATAACCCGATGAAAGAAAGAATTACCTTGTATTAGTACTCATCTTTTTATCTTCTTTAATGTGATCTCTTCCATAACCTAGATCATTTTGTTTGGAGCTGTCCAACACTATCATTTAAGTTGACGAATTCATGTAGCTAAACAATGTAAAATGTGATGTTATTGCAAAGACTTATGATTCTTAACTTGCGATTCCATCTATTCTAAGAATTGACCCCCTTATAAAGTACAATGCAAAAGAAGTAGCAATCAAACTCAAACACTTACAAGTCCTGACTCAACAACCACCATATAAATAACATATTTCAATGTTTGGGAAAAAACCAAACAACAACTATAAGATATACTTTTCACACTAATGATCGGTGCTATGAGAACTCTCTAACAATTCCTAAACCAACACCTCATTTGTTCTAGGAGTATAAGGTCCCGCTGTAAATGTTTTAATATACCAACGATGTGGCTCTTGACCTCCTCTGTCTCACGAGTAATACAAATTAGACGGTTGAAATGGAAAATGCCTGACTCATGACTTGAATACTTATACATCTTTCACATATCTATTACTTTATCATCCTTAAAAACTCTTCAAGATTGAATAAAATATAGGTATAATGCAAAATGTAACAAAAATCATTTGCAAAGAAAACAAAATTTATATCCAAATTGTTCAACTCTCTTCATTCTCTAACCATTTGTTTTCTCCTCTTTATAACTTTCACTTTCAAGAGTGAGCATATATAGTAGTTAGCACATTAACATGTGCTTCTTGTATAAGCCAAAGTCAATACTCAATATGCTAAACTTAATGAATAAAATTATTAAAAAAACACTTTTTTTTCAGTATGACCTCAGCTACTCTTTAAGTCCAAATAAAACATAAAATAAGCCATGAAAGAGAGTAATTTTTCTGTCATATAGTCCACATACATTTATTTGATGAAGAAAACTAACAAGTAGAATTAAATGAAATAAAATAAAGTTACTCATCATTTGTTTATTGCATGTAAATGCCTTGGAGTCACACTTGTAGATGTTTCATAGATAAAATTCTTACATTGTACAACTTCCTTTTCTTGTAAAGAAAACTAGGACATGTTTGGATTTGACTAAAACACTTATGATGCTATTTGGAGAGTTTATATATAGAAACAATTTATGACATGTCATAAATTATTTTTAGCTTATTTCAATACATTCTTCAGAATACTATCAGTCTTTTGTATTTTTTGGTGATGACCTAGTTCATTATATGTCTGTCATATCAGTAACTAGTTTTCTTCCAAGTAGTAAATCATTGAGCTTTTTTGTCCTTCAATGGTCCTCTAGGAATTTTTCTGAGATAATTCTTTTCAAACTTCCTATACATTTTCTTGAGTACTAACATGATATCTTCAAACAGAATGTTAATTTCTTCATCGTACCGTTCGAACACAAGTGGCAATGTTTGCATGCAGAGATAGCCTTATAAACCATCAACAAAAAGAATATAACTTGATTAATTAGTACATTTAACCTTTAGTATGAAATAAGAAAGAAAAAAAAAAGGAGAGAAAAAAATAAGAACTTGTTACCCATGTATAGAAGATTAACAAAGCTGAAGTAGCTTCCGATCACCGAGATTATATAGAGGGAAACAATGATCTGAAATTTTTATGAGAAAATTAGTTCTGAAAATTTTTGAAGGGTTGTGTAATTATGTTATATAATATTGGTGATATATACCATAAGAAAGAGTGGTAGGTTTCTTCCACATGAAATATGGAAAAGTATTGGTAATAACTGGTTGAATCTTCTGTAGAGGATGAAAGCAAGATCATTGAATAAAGACTCTTGTAAAATAATTTCTGGTATCTCAGGTACTTTCCTGAATATATATATTCAAAGAGAACCAAAAACATTATCTTATAGTAAATGAAATTAAATGTAACCATTTTGTATGTTAGATATATACCATTTTAATATATCAGCAAATTTGAACCAAAAGAATAGTACAAGCATCATGGTGATGAAAAATTGACAAATAATTGTCACAAAATTGTACTCAAGGATCTCGAATAGAAACCATATCGTTGTCATCCCGAGAAAAAGTGCAGCAGATTCATATCTGTTCCTCCATAATAATATATCTGCCACTGTAAATGAAGTGAAGTTCTTAATTTAGCATAATCAATTCATTAATTCTTAAAATTCATAATATTTGATATTTCAACACAGTCATAATGTATAATGCATGTATATATAATTATAGTATGAATCAAAATGATAAGAGAGAAAATAATATCAATGTGATTAGCAATATTAGTGTTGAGTATGAGTTATAATCACTTATTAGTGGTACCTTTTCCTCCTCCAAGTATTTCATGTATAGGTTTTTCATGTTCAAAGAGTTTAGTTCTTGTAGAGATTTCATTATCAGAATCAGATGATGTATTGTGTGCCATGTGAAGTTTTTATTAACTGATGTTTGTGTCTTGTTGCTTGGTGTTGTCACTTTTGATCAATATTTATATACAAAGGAGGTTCTATGCTGTGTAGTAAAGTAAGGAATGACTTGGTGTTTTTGTTGAGGATGTCTCTTTAAAAGTCTAAAGTATCAATGCTCATAGATTAGTCTTTTGTCTTAGTAATTAATTTTGGGGATCTTTATGCAATCCATACTTCATAAGTTGTGATTATTTGATTGTAAAATTGTACTAGTGCTACTTGTGTAGGAATAAGAATATGTTTTAAACAAATAAAAAAAATTATTATTTTTTTCTTAGAAATTCATCTCCACATATAATAGTTCTATTAGACATGCTATTTGTAATTTATTATCGTCGACATCAAGTCTGCGTAGTTGTGGTTACCATGTGTTGTTCACTTTATGTGTGAGAACTCGTTGAGTTGAAGTGTATGAGTGTTGCATATAAACTGTCTTTAATCACAATTTTTAAGTAATGTGAAACTATTTTGACCAGTCCGGAATAGTTTCCCTCCAGTCAAGGCTTAGGGACATGGTGTCTTATGAAGGTTCTTTTTAGCATTTATGATAGGTTGTCAACCTTAAATAAAGTCTATATATTAAGGCAATTGTTTACGCTTCGGATGACGAAAGACACATCAATTGTGTAATAACTAACTTAATATTGTCAGAACACAGCTTTTAAAAAAAATTGTCACAACACAATTGAGTTCAGTGGGAATCGAATTTGACAATGAGGTATGAGCATTAATCATTTTTTCCTCTCTATCACACAACATGAATGCTACTGTTAAGGTCGTGAGTATCTTCAAGAAGTAAAAAAAATGATATTTGATGATGTTCGTCATCTGGTTATCAGTGAAGAGATCCAACGGAGGGAGTCTAATGAATCTTCATCCTCTTACGTATTACATATACATTCAAGCGGAAGAAATTCAACTAGAGAATATGACTGTCGCATTTCAAAAAAATGCGATCCTTTGCGAAGCGTTCGCACGCTCGCAGAAAAGTTGCTGGAACAAAGTTGCCACCGAACTTTATTTATTCAATGCAGAAAAGGGAAAATATCGATAAAGCTCACAAAATAAAAATAAAATGATTATCGCAACCAAATTCGGGTTCGGAAGTCGATTATGCAAGGCGAAGGTATTAACACCCCTCATGTCCATTGTACTCAACGAGAACTTCTTAGTTAGATTTGCGATAGAAATGTTAGCTTATGTTAATTGTTTTGTTCTACTTAATGAGCGAAAGAAAGAAATGATGGTTTAGAAAAATGGACGATTTTTATTAAAGGGATGGACGTTTTTATTAGACGTATGTCTGACAAGATTTCAAAATCCCGCTCCTACGTATCTTCAGGTGCTTTGAACAACTCAAGGCTACATAGTTATACTAAAAGAACTACTGGGTTAATTGCTTCATAGCACCTGAAGGATCGCGTTTTTTGACATGTGACACTCATATCCTCTGGTTGAATTTCTTCCGCTTGAATATATATGTAATACATAAGAGGATGAAGATTCATTAGACTCCCTCCGTTAGATCTCTTCATTGAGAACTAGATGTCGAACATTATAGCACCATAAGATACTTCAGCCAATTCCAGTCAGAGTCAGTGGTCCTTATTGATCTAAGTCTAATAGTGGAATGTAATGCTAAACCTTTTGGTTAGTATAAGCCTTCCATTCCCCAAAAAATCTCCAAGATCTTCTCATTCCCCAGAGAATCTTTATGTTTGATCTAAGCAGCATCCATACCAACGATAACATGTTCTTCCACGACAGCGTCAACACACTTAAAGGCCAAAGAGGCAGTTTGATTCTTTGCCAATGCCATACAATCATATACGATCATATTTGATCAATAGTGGATTAGTAGAGCCAAAGGAACTAAATCCAATGACTCTTTCATACCCACCAGACTTTAACCCCAACGTCTGATGTGGTTTCCATGTCGGTGCACCAGGACATTCAGTTGAGGATTGCAAAGCACTCCAGAATAGGGTACAAGATATGATTAAGTCCAAATTAATTCCCTTCATGCCTCAAGGCCTTCATATCAACATTAATCATTTACCTGGTCGTGTGGATCCATCAGTCCATGTTATGGAAGAAAATGCCGAGAATAGGTGTTGATATGATCATCATATCAGTCTTAATGAGATGGACGACCTCCAACTCTAAAGAAGGCTAGCCCAATAGTGAATCAAGTCAGAAAGCTCATTCTCAATGCTGTCAATCATTTGGTTGTTTCATTATAGTTGTAATTTTGTTTGCATGTTGAATGTTTATTTGCTTTTAAGCATTGTTGTTTTCTTTTAATGGTGATATTAATGAAGGTGATCATGCATTTCTGAATCAATCATGCCATATTCACTCATTTTCCATTTATATCAAAACATATTTCTCCTATTCACTTTTCTTTATCAAACAGTGTGTTATAATGAAGATTTAAGGAATAATGATGAAGACAAAATAATCGAAACGTTGTCAAGTATGCTTTTGAAAAAAAAATTTGATGATGCAAGGTGTTGTTTCAACTCCCTAACACCGGAGATAGAAGGATGACAATCCCCCATCAACCCGTTTGAGCCTAGAAGTTTGTGTTTCTTTCTGAACAAAAAAACCTTTATTCTAAACCCAGAGCAGGGTAGTTTTTAGTTAGCTTGGCTATGCATTCAAATCTCAAGAGAATTATTCTGAACACCTAAGAGGTGTAACCATGAGCTATTCTTCACACACATTAGGAAGTGTCAAAGCAGTCATAAAAACACAAAGGTATAGTGGTTGTTACTCAATAACCAATGGCATGACAGTCATAGTCAGTAGAAAAAGGAAAAGAAAAGTATGCTAAGTCGAACACCAAGAAGGTGACTTAGGAAAAAATTAGGGCATCCTGGTGGATTGACAGTTCAAAAGGAACAGTCTAGGAAACATTTAGGAAAAAGAATAAAAAGAGAAAAGAGATAAAAAAATGAAAGTAGGTGACCATCATATCAAGGACCAAAGGGTCACTAAAATTCCTGATAGAATCAAATTTTTTGATTACCAAACAAAGATAACTGACTGCCACCTCAAATGAATGACTATCATTCGTTCTCAAGCCATAATATTCACACCTTCAAATTTCTTTTGGAATTTGAATGTGTTAGCCAAATTAACTGAATGTAGGACTGAAGATCATCAAGGAGATATGGGTGGATTAAAATAAAATTTTGAGCCTTATATCCTTTTGTTCAAAAACCGTGAACCAGGCCACATTACAACCCTCAAAAGACCCAATTGAAGCAAGATATTTTTTAAAAGCATACTCAGCAAGGTTGCGTTAACCTGACTCGTAGATATTTGCTAATCATCTGTATTGGTATCATATCCCGTTGTCTTTCGTACTTTGAATAAATTTGTGATCCATTCACTATATACCACAATATCATCTTAAAAGAGATTTTGAAACTTGCATGTGTACTGCATTAGAATGACCATTTTAAAAATAATTTTATTTGCAAATTGACACTCAACATCAAGGAAATATTTCTAAAGAACAGTCATCCTGGTGCGAGTTGTTTCAGGATTCAGTAAATCTGGGGTAGTCACTTTGAGACGTAGCAAGTCTTTCTAAAGATCATACTGGGGAAAACCACTTCCATAGTACATTGAAGCCCATTATTCTAAAAGTCAGTCAACCATGAGCATACTACAACAGGATTCAGAATACTGGGGCAAGCCGTTTTAAAGCCATATTTTGGGGGGAAATTTTCAATTTCCTTTTCAAAGGCCCAACAAACTGGGGCAGGATAAGTTCACAAAGTGTGAAGCATCTCAATGATCACCATGATCTGAGAAAGTCAGAGGTTGCTACTCTTCTAGAGACAATAATCAGCATTGAGCCCACTAAGCGGCAGAGCAAAAATTAGAGTTTTACAAACCATCTTCATGGTGTCAAAACTATTCAAGACCAAGGGTGTCGGGGAATCAAATCTTGATACCCACCAAATGCAAAAACCAATATATTCATGCATACATTTTCTTCTTATATAAACATGCATATAGCATACATGCATTGAGCATACATGCATAAGCCTCATCCGGATTTGGAAACCTTTCAAGGAAGTTCATTGTAATCCTAAGCAAAACCAAGATTCAAGAGTTGTTCTCAAGAGTATAACATTTCTTCTTCTTCAGTGCAAATGGCTTTCAGACGTCAATCAATGTTACTGATGATTCTCAAGATGAATTTCTTCCCATGATTATATTCCCCATTTGAAATCTGGTGTCAGCGGAATTTCTATTTGGTTTCCCTAGTAGATATCTCCCTTACATAATTTCTTTTGAAAATTTCTCCAGCAAAACTTCATGAGCTCCCCAAGCAAGTTTCATATCAGCAGGATTCCTAAGAAAGGTATCTCCAACAACATTATCCTCACTAGGTCTCTTTGAAGTATTTGTCTAAAATGGACATTTCACAAGGATATCTCAAGCTAGAAATCTCCCCAGAGAGTCTATTGGACAAGAGTTCTCTAACTGACAAGTTTTACTGATTGATCCTCAATATATCATTAAAAGAGTCGCCAGCTTTCACATCTCGAAAAATGTGAATGCTTTGCAAAGGATCAAATTTTTCGAGATGCGATAATGACATGGTAAATCAAAGGAAAGATGATTCAAATCCAAAAATCATCGTAATTTTCACAAATCAACAACTTTTGAGTGTTGGCATTGTGGAAAGAAGGGGAGCACTACAAAAATCAGTGCAATCTCTCACCAAATAATTAAGAGGTAAAACATGAGGCAAACATTGTTTCCACCTTAGGAGGAAAAGACATGTTGATATGTTCATTGGAGATTAAGGAAGAGCCTTGTGTGTTAGACTCTAGAGCATCCTTTCACACTAGTTTTAAGAAATAATTCTTTAAGAATTATGTGTCATGAAACCTTGGTAAACTTTACCTTGGTAATGAACAATCTTGTGATCCTC